GCAGAATGCTTTACATACATGGGTCATCCCAAAAGCCTTAGTGCACATTTCATTTCATTTGATCCTCAAAATGACCACACGAGATAGGTTCTATTATTATCTCCATTTTACATATGAAGAAACTGAGGCCAAAGGAGGTTAAGTGACTTCCTGACCTGAAGCAGAATTTGAACTCAGGTCTTCCATACTCATATATGGTTCAGAGGAAGATAATGGTAAATTTAAGGAAAATAATCACATTTTAAAGTGTTTTGTTTTGCAAATTGCTTTATTTTCATTATCTCATTTGAGCCTTTAAAAAAATCTTGATTCCTTTATTTCAATGTAAGTGCTCTTTCTCGGAATCTTATGCATTTCATTTTATGCATTTCAAGACTTGATTCAGAGAAGGGGTCCATAGATTTCTCCAGACTGCCAGAGGGGTTCATGACCACATGCACAAGTTTCAGAACCCTTGTCCTAAAGGCAGTAGGGAGTCCCGGGATCTTCTGGAGCAGGAGACTGGTGTCATTTCACCAGAGCTGTGGAATGCTTACTTTGTCAGCTGTGTGGAGAATGGCTGGAGAGGAAAGAGACAAAGTACCCAGAGAGAGCGTCCTCTCTGGGGTCAGAGAATACAATTAGGAGACTCTTGCACTAGTCTAGGCAAGATGTGATGAAAAATTGGAATGGGAGTACTGTGCTAAATGCTGGAAAATAGAAGGAATGTGTAGATGATGGCAATAAAGCCTGTATGTGCATGCAGGGCCAAATGAGAAAGTTCACTAGAATCAGGAGAGGCCGGAGAATGAAAGGAAAACGTTGGGTTTGGGACCAGGAAACTTAACCAGTCAATTCAAGAGTAAGATGCAACAATGAGAGAGAATATTTATGGGCAATGTCTGACACCTTGGAAGGAAGTCAGGCAACCAGAAAGCTTTGAGGTTTTTGTCTTTTGTTTTCTGAGATATTATATAGACAGAAATCAGTTATTTATGCCTTTCCTACATTTGGCCCATCTGTCTGTCATCACTCTCTAGCTTGCTAGACACACTCCTTCCCATCCTTTCTCTGACAAGACCTAGGAAAGTGAGTGCTAGCTCTTGGCTGGAGGAAACTGAGCAAACATCTCTGATTCCTCCAAGGGGATAATTCTTCACTAGGGTGTGGCTTCTTTGTTCAGTTAGAGGCAGCATAGGAAAAAGGATAGAGTACTGGCTCACCTCAGCTTTGGAAAGACCTGGGTTCAGATTCTGCCTTGACAGAAGCTGTGTGACTCTGAGCGTGTCAATTTCCCCCATGTGTCAATAACCCTAACTGTGATACCTCCCTTATCAAGCTGTTGCAGGGTCCAAGTGAGGTAATGTCTTTACAATACTTTGCAGACTTTAGTGTGTTATATTAATATCATTTATTATCACTTGCTGAATTGAACTGAATTGAACACACTGATAACTTCTTGGGAAGTGACAGTCTCATGCCTCTGCAAGGTAGCCTTCCATATTTTCACCAGCAGGAATATGATTTGTTATTGTTGTTCTTGTTTTATGAGAACCACAGGGTATTTGTCAAATTTATTTAAATCATCAATCATATTGTATAGCTATTTTCTTTTTTATATTGGACACACATAATGAGATTTTGGACACTAAAATGTTTTTTTTTTATTAAAAGCTGTGATCTAGAGACCGTCTGGGGAGGCTAACTCATAAATTCGTAGGAAAGAATAAATTTACAAACGTTATAAAGGCATAGACTTAACTTTTAGGCCATGGTCTGGATTATAATTTACCTCTTCATTCATTCATTCATTCATTCATTCATTCAGCAAACAAGCAAGCATTATTAAGTGCCTACTGTGTACAAAACCAGAGTGCTAGGTCCTGGGAGTGATAAAGAGCTTAGATAAAACAAGGTGCCCACCTTTATGGAGTTCACATTCTAGTGGTGGGATAAGGGACATGCAAAAATATGTGACACATTGTTCAGAAAGGTATGAACCAAAACCAGGGCATGAGAACAGTGAATTGCCGCTTATGTCTGGGTGGTGTAGCCTTTATGTTTGGCTATCACAGAGAATCTGCAGCCAGGGAGAGCCTGAGATGCCTGGAAAGGGACCAGGGTATGGAGGCATCGAATGGCAAGCAAACAAGTCTGACCTTTATTCTGTGGGCAATAAAGAGTCCCTAAAGATATTTGAGACCAGATCTAAGCAGAGGGAAGAGTATTCTGGGAACTGTATTCAAATATGGATTGGAGGGGTGGGAAGCAAAACAAACATTTATTAATTGCCTACTATGTGCCAGGCATTATGCTAAGGCTTTACAAATATTATCTCATGGGGTGAATGGGGATTGTGTTTAGACCTAATAAGAAGCTACCACAGTCTGGCAAGTAGATGATACAAAGACAGTGTCCCCCCAAAACCAGAAAGCAAGCCCCTAATGTATTAATTCAGCTCATGTAGTGCTTTCTTCCATCCTGTAAAGTAAAGAAAGTCAATGTGTCTGATTCATCTAGTGAGAGGCCTCTAGGAGCTCAGAGCCCATCTGCATTCACCCCCTGCAGAATACACGAATCCCCTCTGTGACATCTGACCCAGACATGCTGTAATTGTGCGATTATCCAGATAAAGAAGGGAGGGTCCTCAGAGGCCAGCTAATCCTACCCCCTCATTTTACAGATTAGGAAACTGAGGTATAGGGAGGCTAAAGTACTCATCACCCTATTACCCCACAAATTCCACTGGTCCCCTATTACCTCCAAGATAAATATAAAATACTTTGACTTTTAAAGCCTTTTATAACCTGACCCTTTTCGCCCTTCCCAATTTTATATCCACATACCTATTCGATGAAACGACAACTCTGACCTTCTCCCAGGTCTGTGCGTTTTTACTGGGTTTCCCATGCCTGGCATGCTCTCCATCCTCACCTCTGTCTCCAAGTTTCTCTGGCTTCCTTCAAGACTCAGCTTAAATCCTACCTTGTACCAGAAGCCTTTCCTTCTCTCTTCCCTTCTGGTTGGATCTCCCACTTGCTCTGTATATATTTTATATGAACATCATCATTTGCATGTTTTCTCCCTCCCTCATTAGAATGGGAGCAGCTGTGGGGAGCCCGGGCATACAGTAGGTGCTTAATAAATATTTGTTGTTAATTACTGATTCATCACCCAAGTTCTAAAGCAAGATTTGAACCCAGATCTTCCTGACTCCAAGTCTCACTATTCTATGTTGCCTCAACAATCAACACTACACTTCCTCAGAACAATAATACTGATAGTGAGGATGATTGCTGACATTCATTCACGTGGCATTTTTTGATTCACAAACCATGTTATAGACATTATTTCATTTGTTTCTCACAACAACCCTGTGAGGGAAGTGCTATCATTATCCCCATTTAACAGATGAGAAAACTGAGGTTAGGTCATTTGGCCATGGCCACACAGCCAAGTAGGATCTGAATGCAGGAATTCCTGACCTCTTGACTTAGGAGCCCCTCCTTACAGTCTCACAAGACAGCCCACCCATTTTTAAACCTCTCTGATCATCAGGAAGATCTTTCTTATGCTTAACTGAAATCAGAAGCCCTGTGGCTTCTACCTTTTGCTCCTAATTCAGATATTTGGGGCCAAGGATATGTCTGAACCCCTTGTCTTCATAACGGTTTTACAAATACCAGAAAAGATGACTAAAGAAGAAGAACGAAAGTCTGTCCTCAAGAGAGCTGGTAGTTTGATGAAGGGGGATATAGCAATTGAAGAGGGTGAGCATACAGTCAATCTAGAACTCTTTTAAATTACAATCAAAGATCCCATCCAGCTTAAAAATTCTGTGAGTTGCTATAACTATGAGGAAGCACGGGATGCCTTTCATAGTCGATAGCAGGATAACTTCCTTTAGCTGATGATGAGTAAACAGTTGTCACAGTCATGACCAGCCCAACTCTTGCTCCTAACCCCCCATTGCTGTGACCAGAGGTTACACTAAAAAAATATCATTTTCTTAGGATATGGTAAGTAAGTTGAACCGTGGTCCGGACTGGGTATGTCCATCATGGAAGCCATCTTCATACTTCAGAAATCATCTCTTATTTTGGTCCAAACCTTAGGCCACTTAATGCCAGGATTAGTCAGCTGTTTCTCATAATCACTAGAAAGTTCAGGTGAATATTTGACCTTGTAAAGAGTAAAAGAGTGATGCCTTCTGACTACAACCAGGTGCTTATTTTTAAAAAGATTGAACTTAGCCTGACTCTTAAAAAATGTGTACAATTATAGGAACCAGTTATTAATCAGGTATTTAATTAAATTCAATTAGCTCTCAGAGAAGCCTTCACCAAGTAGTTTGGACAAGTAGATAGCCACTCAGCTAATTTTCTCGGTAGTAGGGTCACCAATGCACTTGAATTTCTGTTGCATTTTAAGCATGCTAATTTGGAGATGATGAAATTCAAATTCAGATTTATTATTTAAAGATATCTCTAGCTTGTATTAAGATTAGCTAGCTAATGGTAACCAATACAAGAGTTTGTACTTTAACCAAAACATATATAGCACTTTTATGTGTATCTATAACTCACTTCACCATTCTACTAACCATCTACGTTCAAAGTTCTTATCCACAGGATTTTCACTGTATATAATGGACTCAGAGTTGATTTGAGGTCATCTCAACTGTGACACTCACTAGCTAGGTGACTTTGAGCAAGTCACCGAACCTCCTCAAGCCTTATTGCCACAGTCTATAAAATGGGGCTAATAATATGTGCTAGCTCCCATATGGAGTCATTTTGAGGAATACAAACATTAAAGCACACAACAAAGTGTTTATTTTCATTATTATCTATTGTTATTTGGAAGGTCAAGTGGCATAATGTTCTAGGTAAACCTTAGCTGGGAGTATCAGTATTCTTACCACTTGAAGGGAGCCAGAGATCACAGACAACATCCTCATCTTCCTCATAAATTCACGTCATGGTATGTCTCATTTCATGTCCATTCATCATGCCTTCCAGTTCCAGAATGGTCAGTCCTTTGATGACTTTGAAGAGCGTTTTGCAGCAGCTATGCCGGTAAGGCTGGGAGGTCCCTCTTCAATTCACTTATTACAATTGTCTTCATGTCATTCATCTCATTTTCACACATCATCCCTTGTGGTTTCAGAACCGAAACTCATTGGTGGACTTTGGAGAGTGTTTCAGGGGCGATAATCAGGTAAGGCCTGAGGTGCTTGCTCTTATGGCCAATTCTATTGTGTCCCATGGAGAATCCAGAAGTATTAGGGGTCACTGAGTTTGGGGCAGGAAAGGTGAGTCTCACCAGGGACAGCAGTGGCCATATCCAAGGCTGGTCCAATAAAACTGTTTACAGATATGATGTGGGATATTATAAGAAGGAAAGTAGAATCAAGGGGGTAATGGCTGGAAAGGGAGAAGAGGAAGCAGCCATTTCAGCAAAGCCAATGGGAATGGCCTGGAGTGGAAGGAAGATGCCCAGATAAGGGCTCTGAAATCATGACAAGCCTAACTGAGTGGGAAAAGTGGGTCTGTTTTAGCAAAGCCAAAGGGGTTATAGAAAGAGCCACAAGCTGATTTTTAGTAAGCTGGTATTTGAGCCTCACCATTGCCTCTTTAGCTACAAAATCTTAAGCATATTCCTTCCTCACCCTGAGTTTCAGGTTCCTCTTGATCAGACTAGATGAGCTCTAACGCTTTAGCGAGTTCTCAGTCTATGACCCTGTTAACCAGATTGGGGTCAACAGTTGATCAGTGACTAATCATTTAAGAATCCCGCCAGCTCATGGTTATAAAATATTACAGAATTTGGTTTCAACTACTCACATAAGCTTGTCAAAAGATTTTTGTTGCTGCTGTTGAGTCATTTCAGATGTGTCCAACTCTCCATGACCCCATTTGGGGTTTTCTTGGCAAAGATGCTAGAGTGGTTTGCCATTTACTTCTCCAGCTCGTTTACTGTTTTCATACTCTCAGACCTAGGAAGAAGGTTTCAGAGGTGATCCATTCTGACCAATCCACCATATTCCTGACAAGCTGTCACCCAACCTCTGCATAAAGAATTCTTCTAAAAGGGAAACTCTCCATTTTATTTTTGGACATCATTAATTTTAGGACTTTTTTCCTTGCCTAGAATCATCTCATTCATTCATTCATCTACTCATTCGTTCATTTATTCACTGAACAAAAATTGATGAAATACATACTATGTACAGGGCATTGATCTAGGACCAGAGGTGTTACAAAATTTAGTGAAGATGCTTTCCATGACCTGCTTTTATGGAAATTATAGTAGCATGTTTTTCTTCTGTTGTGTTTTGTTTCCTCTTTCTGGTGGTTCCTCCTATTGGTTCTAATTCTTACTTACAACATCACTAATGTGAAAATATGTTTAATGAGAATGTATATGTATAGCCTATATTAGACTGTGCGCTGTCTTGAGGAAGGAAGTAAGGAGGGAGGGGGAGAAAAATTTAAAACTCAAAAGCTTATGGAAGTGATTGTTGATAAATCAAAATAAATTAATAAAGGATCAAATACAAAAAAAAAGAAATTATAGTAGCATGAAAGGGTAACACAAATACACAAAACTAGCCTGTTAGAAAGGGGCAGAACAAAGTACTGTTTGGGGCCTGGGGAGAAGTTCATTACTGACCAAGGAAAGGTTCATAGAAGAAATAGTGTTTGGTTTGGGCTTAAAGTATATGACCTTGGTTAAGTTACTTAACCAGCCTCATCTGTGAAATGAGTGGATTGGACTAGATGAGCTTTGAGCTCCCTTTATTTCCAGACCGTGATCCTATGAATGTGTAGGAATGCAGCAAACTGAGGGGAAAGGAGGGCATCTGAGGTACAGGGGTCAGTGTGAAAAGAAGACACAAAAGTAATTTTGCAAAGCAGAATAAAGCTTGACTAGAACTATAGAATCTCTAAGTGAGCGTAAAATAAGTAAAACTGGAATGGTAGGGGTACTAGGTTGTAGGGGGTCTTGAATATCAAGCAAAGGATTCTGAACTTTAGGCAGTAGGGAGCCCTGGAAGATTTATGAGTAAAGAATAATATGACCAATTAGGTTTTGTTTTCTAATATTAAAAAAATAATGTTCTATTTTTATGCCATGTACGGTAACACCTTGGAGAGACAAAGAAGGTATTTAATTATAATCTGGTAGGATATATTAAAGTAATTAATTCTGTAAACATCATCAAACTCAAATGCAACAGATATTTACTGAGTGTCTGCTACATGCAGGACATTGTGAGGCCTAAAAAGACTTGGATAGAACTTGCAGTCTATAGGGAAGGTAGAGAAGATGTGTTTCCAGATAACTGTAATACTAGATACAATATAATCCATCAATCACTCATTAAGCATCATATATGTATATGTGTGTGTATTCATATATATGTGTGTATGTATGTATGATGCTTAAGGATATCTACCATTGAATTTTTCACGGGAGCTGAGGTGATAATCAAGAAAGGACATTGAAATACACCCAGTAGGAAGCCTTGGACATCTCCCATGGTAAGAGTAAATAATAAGTCAACAAAGGAAAAGGATACTGAGAAGGGACCGGCAGGTAGGAGTAGAAACCAGAGAAATAGAGCAAAAAGAAACAGGGATAAACAGAGAAAGAGAGACGATCTTTGGGAGTAAGGGAGTGGTTCATAGTCTAAGACAATGCTGAGAAGTCAAGAAGGGTGAATGCTAAGAATGGAACATTAGATTTAGCAATGAAGAGATCACCAAGTAATGTTCAAAAGAGTAGGTTCATTTGAGCAATGAATTCAGAAGCTAGATTGAAGACGTTGAGAAGTGAGTGGGAAGAAAGGGAATTGAAGTAATTAGAGTAAGAGGATTTTGTTTTTTAATGCATTTGGCTGTTAAAAAAAAAAGAGGACAGTTATTACAAGGTCACTCGAGGAAGTGGTAGGGTAAAATGAAGGAGTTTTTTTAAGGATTCGGAGGCCCAAGAATGTTAGAAGTCCACAGGAAAGTAGCTAATAGAAAAAAGAAGGTTAAAGAATATACATAAACTAGGAACATGAGTTAAGAGTTGTTCAAAAAAAGTGCTGTGTCCATTCCTAGGAAGGATGTCAGCATTAAGAAAAGTTCTATGACTGGGCAGCTAGGTGGCATAGTGGATAGAGCACTGGCCCTAGATTCAGAAGGACCTGAGTTCAAATCCCACCTCAGACACATAACACTTACTAGCTGTGTGACCCTGGCCAAGTCACTTAACCTCATTGCCTAGCCAAAAAAAGAAAAGAAAAGTTCTATGGGAGAGGCAATAATCAAGCTGGATAATAAGAAGGCAAGTAGAGTGGATAGGGAAGGCGTCCATTGGAAGGATTATGTTTTCAGGTTAGCAGTGAAAGGCCCAGGGGGTCAAAGTTTCTACCACTCCAGAATTGCAATCACATATGACTATTAAAATTATTTTATTACCCAGGAATTTAATTTTCTATGAAATTTAATTAACTAAAGGTGCAAGTTAAATATCTACCATGATGGAATGAAATAACAACATGTGTTTTATGCCTAAATGAAAATACTCTGGCAAAAGGAAAAAAATACACACACACACACACACACACACAAACACACACATTGGAAAATCCATATTTCAAAAATGAAGGTTATTTTAAAAGTTGTACTTAAAGAGAAAATTAAGCAATAAATTATCTTTATGTTGTTAGTAAAAAGTGTACTATGAGTTCAGCACATTTCAAATGTAAATTGTATGTAAGTTAATTATTAACTTTGTTTTAATTTTCTACCTCCACTAGAAAGAGAGATGTCCTTCTGTTTTAAAGAAAGAGGGTTCCAATCAGGAGCAAGCCCTGAAGCTTCACTGGAGATGATTAAATAGAATTATTGCTTTTATGAATTTTTAGCTTTTTCAAAGAAAAAACAAACCCAGGCCTTCCAAAAAATAGCCAAATGACCTCCTTGTAGAGTTGGCTTTGAACTTGGGGAAGAGACAACATTTAAGGAAAAGAATGCTTGTGTCCCACCCAGAGCAGGCAGAGTAGCCTACTGCTTTCTTGGTCAGCTCTTTCCCCATTCTGCGACCACTTAGCCTAATTTGGAGCAGGGGAGAAGACAATGAAATTATTAGAAATTTTAACTCCAACCATTTTCTCAGCAGCGGAATTGATTTCTCCATCTCTCTCAGAAGTGGAAAAGGCCTTTTGTTGAAAGGAAGAGAAATAACACTTGACCACTATCCACATGTCTTCTTCAGCTTTTCTTAGGAAGCCTTCAAAGGTTCTACCAAGAGTGCTGACATTTCCGAAGGTCGCCACCAAGGCAAACTTATCTGCATCATTCTACCTTGTTACTATCACGTTACAGTGGCCAAATACCACTCAAAACTGCACTAAGATTTTAGGGACACTCTGGGTATTGGGAAGGGATCTATGTATTGGGAAAGAAATATGGTTGGAGGATCTGGCTTTGGAAGAGACCTCAAGGGTCATTTAGCTTAGCCTTTTATTTTACAGGTAAGAAAACTGATTACCAAGGAGTAACACACCCAAGGTCAAACAGATAGTAAGTGATGGACAGGATTTGATAGAAATCCCCTCCATCCACAGTCAGTACTCAAAAATTAATAACATAAGTAACTCATGAGCATTTATTTATTTTCTTTCCCTCCCACTGGGAAAAGGGGGGGAAGGGGAGAAGAAAGAAAAAGCCACCCTTGTAACAAATATGTGTCGTCAACCAAAATAAAGTCCCACATTAGCCATGTCCACAAATATGCTACATTCTGAAACTTGAGTCCATCATCTCTCTGTCAGCAAATGCCAGTGATTAGAAATTGTAAAAAAAAAAACATCCACAAATATAGAATTTTTTGTTCCAAACCAAATAGTTTTCTTCCTGGGCCATACAATCTCCTACAGAGCGTAAGCAGGTATTGCAAGTAAGGAAATGGAGCTCCTAAAAAGCCAAATTAGGTAGAACAATGGAAAAAGTCTTGGTTCTAGATTCAAAGGATTTGGGTTGAAATCCTGGATCTGCCACTGGTCATCTGTGTGACCTCAGGCAAATCACATAACTTTTCTGGGTCTCTGTGTTCCGATTTCTAAAATAAGTGGTTTGCAGTATATCAGAGCTGTCAAATTTGTGTACCTTGAAGCTCACAAAACTGAGTGTGGCCCAAATGAGATTCATTTGTCCAAACTGAAATAGAAATGCATCCTTGCAGGCTATACATTGACTTAGAAAACTACAAATTAATATCATCTATGTGGTATTTTTACTTATTTTGCAAGGATAAATGAGATGAACTATCTAAAAGTATTTTGAGAAGTATAAAGTATAATAGCAATGTAACATATGCATATGTATTTTATGTCTACAAATGTATAGAAATATAGATATGTAGATCTATGATTATATATAATATTATAGATATATTAGATGGATATTATATGTTATATAGAAATTATATGAGACAGATAATGATCCAGTCTAACTTAGAAAGGAAGCTAGATACTGAGAGGTAACAGTTGATAAAGGATAGATCAGATGAGGAAATGATTATTATCAGGTCATTTCTGCAGCCGAAAGGGAAGCCTAGCATATTAGGCACCAAGATCAGCACTGGGCTTTGAGTCACAAGCAGTGAGCTCCAATCCCAGCTCAACACTTACCCTGGGTTCCACTTCTAGCGGGGTGATCTTGAGCAAAGAAATTCACCTGACTCCACTAAGCCTCAGACTTCTCATCTACTGAGTGGGGATGACGATATTCACAAATACCCATCTTGTAAGGATCTCCTGAAGAAAATGTTTTATAAACTTTAAAGCACTCTTTGAGGGCGAGTTATGTGAGGAATCATTAATTCTTTGTAAGGGTCTTAGGAATCATTTTCCAAGAAAAAAAATCGAACGAACATCACCTGTTCCCAAGAGGCAGAAGGAAATACACTTACATTGTCAAACTTTTTTTTTTCTCTTCAGGCTGTGACCCAGTTAGAGCTTTTTGGGGACATGTCCACCCCTCCAGATATAACCTCTCCCCCAGTAAGTATCCATTCTTTACTTATGCCCTCTGATCTCCCAGTTGTTATTTGTCTGTCTTTCCTTTTCTTCTTCCAGCACCCTCTGCTCTTTACTTAACTGTTGCCATGATTTAGAAAGCAGGGCTGTTGCTTCTAGAGAAGAGGATGACAGTGGCTGTTGTTTGAATTCTTAATGAGTACACCAATCTCTCTCTCTCTGTCTCTCTCTGTCTCTGTCTCTATCTCTTTCTTTCTCTCTCTCTCTCTCTCTCTCTCTCTCTCTCTCTCTCTCTCTCTCTTTCTCTCTCTCTCTCTCTTTATATATCTCTCTCTCCCCTTTCTCTCTCTCTCCCTCCCTGACACTACTCTCTAAAAGCAGAGTTCATTCAGGATTCAGGTTTGATACTATTAAACAAGCCATGGTTCTGTTGTTGAAAGGGAGAGCAGGAGAGCCAGAGGAGATCTCCATGTTGAAGGATCAGAGCTCAGTGGCATTTGCTTCCTAGGACGGCATTCTCTGTGTCTCTCTGTATGGTACCTCCTCATTCTGTGGGGGACCTATATAAGGAACTCACGTTCAGTGGGCTGGATTCTACCTTCTAAGGCACAAAGTCCTCCTAAGGGGTAAGGTGAGATGACACAGTGTTAAGGATAGTGAAGGACTGAATAAATGAAAGAAAAGCATTTATTAAAGATTTACTGGGTGCCAAGCACTGGGCTAAGTTAGCCCTCTCTGACTCTATTGGCCTCACTTTTGCCTGATAAATCAGGTCTCTAATGTTTAGTTCCTTAAATTTCCCTTAGCCTAAATTGCAATAATAAATTACTAGTCCTAGATTGAGCCAGAATATTGTTTCTCTCCCAATTCTGGAATACCACCACCCCCCATACACATCTCATAGAATCTATCATTAACTTCCTTCAAATCCCACTTCAATCTCCACCTTCTCCATGAGTACTTCTTTGTTCCCCCAGATATTTGGGGTTCCCTCTAATAATAAACTTGTGTCCATTTTATATATCGTCTCTTTCAGCTCCAGCTTACCACGGAGACATATAAATACAGATATATAGCTATGGGGAGAGAGAGAGAGAAAGAGAGAGAATGAGACTGATACTGAGAGAGGTGGAGAGACAGACTGACATTGATAGTAAGAGAGATAGAGACACACAGAGACAGAGACCAAGAGGGATCGTGTGTGTGTGTGTGTGTGTGTGTGTGTGTGTGTGTGTATTGTTTCATGCCGTCTCCCCAATTAGACTAACTTTCCAAGGGCAGGGATCAGGATTTTTGGTTATTGTTGGTTTTGTTTTGCCTTTCTTTATATCCCCAGAAATTAGTATAGGGCTAACGTAGAGTAGATGCTTAATAAATGCTGTTGACTTAATTGTAAACTCTAAGAAATACCTCACTTTTATCTTTGCAACTTCAATGCCTAGCACTGGACCTTGTCCTCGATATGCATATAATAAATGATTGTTAATTAACTGATTGTTTAATTTTTTTTTAGTTAATAAGCATTTGTTTTCTTCTTCCTCCCACCTCTTCCACCCACAAAAAGAAAGAAACCCTTTGTAACAAATAAGCATAGTTAAACAAAACAAATTATTAGTCATAAGGAAGGTGGCACAGATAGGGATGACTTTGGAAATCCCAGAATCCCAACACTGGGAGAATTTTATGTGTTTTGGGGTGCTGGGGAGCCCTAATAAATACAAGAGTTTTTCTGCTAGTACCACCCTCAGTGGTTTTGCTAGGAAATCTTCAGGGCCAGCTTCATGCAGGGCCCAGTGCGGTAGTCTAAGCCTGAGGCATCATTGCCATGGGTCATTGGCCAGATGTGCATCAGAAAGAAGGGGCAATGACCTCTTTGCTGAGCACAGATGGTGCCAGGCTCTTCAGCCACTGATGCCAGGAGAGGAGTCCAGGGTCAGCTGCATAGCTCTAGACACCTGATGTCATTGAGTTCCTGTGACATTGGAATGAGCAACCTCCTTCATGGGAGAAATGGGAATAATACCATGAGATTGGAACTTTGCTCTTTTGTCATAGGGTTCAGTGATACCTCAGAGGAGATGTAGTCTAACCTCCTACAGATCAAGGATGCCCTCAACAGCATCACCCCAAACGTTCAGCCGGGCAGGGACTAACAAGGTCTAGCGGTGGGAAATCCATGCCCACCATCGGCAGTCCTTTCAATATTCAGGCAACTAGGAGTAAGGAAGATGATATTGAGCCAAAAAGATGCATCCCTGCACCTCCAACTTATTGTTCCTAGTTCCATCCTCTTGAGTCAGCCCTTTAGATATTTCAAGACAATGAAGATGTCCCCCCCCCCAATGTCAATCCCACAATCCCCACCACATCATTCTTTTTTCTATGGGAAACATCCTTAGTTTCTTTATCTGGTTCTTGTGTTAGTCAGTTAATAAACATTTTTTAAGCACCAGGCACCATGCCAGGCACTATGCTAAGCTCTAAAGATAGAAAAAAAGGCAAAAGACACTCCCTTCTCACAATCAAATGAGGAACTCTCAATCTAATCATATGGCATGGCTTCAAGCTCCCTCACCATCCTGGTCGTTATCTCCAATTTGTCAATGTCCTTCCTAAAATGTGGTAGTGTGGTAGGATGGGAAGAACACTGGATCTGGAGGCTGTATGTTCATCCCACCTGAGAGGAGAAGCCCTGTGAAGGAGCTTGACCAGGGGAAGAGTTTGGAAGGTCTGGCCACAAAAACCCGGTTACAGGGGTAGGGGGAGAAGTTGGGAAGAAGAATGTTGGTGGGGGCTCAGAGCATCTTAAGAGTCCCTCCAGAGGTACTAGGAAGTAGTCAAGTTGTGTTCCAAGAGTTCTGAAGTGCTGATGAGGATGGGAAGAGACAACAGAGGTGGAGGAAGGATGGAGCTGAGGTACCTGAGGCTGAGCAGAAAAGTCAAATGAAGTTCAAAGTCTGGGACGCTAAAGTTCTGCTGAGAAAAGCAATTCAGATACACAGGCTCACTGCTACCATGAGAAGGGTACCGTGCTTAGAGACAAAGGACCTGGATTTCATTCCTGATTCTACCATTTACCTTCTTAGGATTACAGAATAAGTCACTTACCATTTCCTTATCTTCAAAGGGGATTAGATTTCGCCATCTCCCTTGGAGCTGTAACTCATGGGAATATAGACTTAAACCTGCAAGGGGCCTTTGAGATCCTCATTTTGCAGATGCAGAGAGAAGTGCCTTGCCCAGGATCATATGAGTAGCAAGTGTCTGAAGTAGGATTTGAACCCAACTCTTCTTGACTCCAAGTTCCATCTTTGTATTATCCTACTCTGCCACTCACATTCTATATGATCCCGGAGATTGTTAGAAAATTGCTTTGCTCAGAGACAAGCCTTGGATGCATGTACCACTCATTCGCTTCTGGCTTTTAAAGATGAAGAAAGTGGAAATGGTAACAATCATCCCACCATTTTGTCTCTAGAGCTTCTCCTTCCACACATCACAATGGTCCTCCTTATCATACTCCATCTGATTTTTTCTCTTTTTCAGACTCCTGCAACTCCAGGTGATGCCTTTATCCCGTCTTCATCTCAGACACTCCCCTCTAGTGCCGAAATGTTTGGTTCTGTACCTTTCAGCACTACTGCTGTACCCTCAGGTAAGGAAGAACTCCCTGGATTGACTCAACTTGAGATCAGCTTTCACTCAGGCCAGGTCTTACAGACCAGCGATAGGAAACACGCCACCCACCTACATGCAGCCCCCAATACTCCCAAGTGCCACCTGAATGAGATTAAAATATAATTGGGGAATATTTTACAAAAGAAATAAAGCTATTTTAAAACATAGGTAATATTATACTTTAAAATTAAGTCAATATGCAGCCCACAATATACAGCCTTGTATATGGGTTTGCTGTTATCTGGTCATTCAGTCATGCTCTACTCTTTGCGACCCCATGGACCATAGTGTTCATGGGGTTTTCTTGGCAAAGATCCTGGAATCATTTGCCATTTCCTTTTCCAGATGTACAAATTAATGCCCCCTATTTCTATTTGGTTTTTTGTTTTTGTTTCTGTTTTTGCTAGGCAATGGGGTTAATTAAGTGCCTTGCCCAGGGTAACACAGCTAGTAAATTTCAAGCATCTGAGGCAGGGTTTGAATTCAGGTCCTGCTGACTCCAGGGCTGGTGCTCTATCCACTGTGCCACCTTGCTGCCGCGCCTCGATTTCTATTTGAGTTTGATATCACTAATCTAGAGGACCCACCTCTTGCTAGCTTAGGAGGTCACTGAGAAGTTGGAGAGGACTAGGGGAAAGGGAAGGGGATTGGCTATCATTTCTTTCATCTGTAAAATGACTGATTTAGACTACAGCATCTCTGAGGGCCCTTTCAGCTCTAGCATTCTCTGTTCTGACATTCTATGGCTTAATATCCCTGGGAGCTCTTGAAAGTCTAGGAAGAAACAGTAATATACTGGGGAAGAAGATTTATTGCCCCTAGAGTCAGAAAACACCCGGTCAAACCCGACCTTTGATACTATACCCTTAATTTTGGGCAAGTCATTTAAGTTTACTGGGCCTCAGTTTTCTCATTTGTAAGATGAGAGAGTTGGTATAGATGATCCATTCCAGCTTTTGATATATAATTCCATATTTGAAAGTCCCTGATATTTCTAATTAGTCTCTTTTAAGGCCCCATCAAGCTCAGTTTTAATATTCTGTGTTCTAAAGATCCTCTCAAAGGGCTTTCTCAGTTTTGACATTCTGTGTTCTAAGATTCCTCTCAGCTTTTGAATTCTCTGTTCTGAGACCCCTCCCAGCCCTGGCATTCTTTGCTCTAAGGTATCCTCCCAGCCCTGGAATTCTCTATTCTGCTCTACAGTCCCTCCCAGCTCTCACATTCTCGGATTTATTTTCTCATATTTGGTGACTCTCAGAGTCCTTTTAGTTTCTTTTATACTTCTCCAAGGGGCTCAGAATCATCTTCCTTGATTGCCAGTTACACTGGTAACCTTACATTTGCATTACAATGAAGCAAAGAATATTCAAAAGGGAAAGTCTTAAAGAAAAGCCTGAGCCTGGAAGTGACCCTTGACTATAGCGGTAACTGCATTCCACCCTCCTAGAAATAAAGAAAGACAGCCCCAAGCATTCATTTATACATTCATTCACCCTTTACTGCCATGGTGAGGGAGATGCGGAGCAGAGCACTATTCATACATTGCTTGGGTAATTGGACTAGTCACATCCTTTTTCTGGTCCTCAGTTTATCTTCATCTGTCAAATGGAGTCATACTATATTACATATAAAATCCCAACAGAAAGAAAGAAAGGAAGGAAGGAAGAAAAAAAGGAAAAAATAAAGAAAAAGGGAAAGGACAGGAAAGAGATAAACATTTTAGTAAAACAACTCAACAGCATCATTTGAGTCTGACAGTGTATGCAGTTATGCACACTCCTATGCTCTCACCTCTGCAAAGAAAGGAGGGAAAGACATTTTGTCTTCCCTTCAAGGGGCCAAGATGAGTCACTTATAATTATACAAAGTCCAGATTCTATTTTTAGTTCTTTCCATTTACATTGTTGTTATCACTGGGTATATTGTTTTCCTTTTCTGATTATTCTACATTTCATCTGTTCACATAAGCCTTCCCATGCTTCTCTGAGTTTTTCATATTCCTCATTTATTAAATGTCACACTATCCCATCACATATGTTCATGTCCCAAAGTTTGTTCAGTCATTCCCTAATCAATGAGCACCTATTTTTGTTTTCAGTTCTTTGGAATGAAAAATAAAAAAAAGTGTTACTGTGACTATTTTGGTGTACATGGAACACAACCTCCTTGGTGTAAATGCCTAGGAGAAGCACTGATCTTTTATAACTCTTCAGTGCTACAAAAGCAAACTTAGATATTTAGTAGCCTACCTTTTCCTTCTCAAAAGAAGCATTTACCTTTAGACAGCCCCCCAAATCAATATAGTTGCTCAATGGATATATTCTTTTCCTTAAATATTAAATCACTTCCAGTCCTGTGGAGACTATACTAAAAAGAACTATGGTTTTCTTCTCCTCTTCTTTCCTCCTCCCTATTGAATTTTTCATTAAAAGCAATTTTATTCCTATCTTAGCTTGTCTATCGCCTTAATTTCCCAATATGTCACTCTTTTCTCTGACTCCAAGAGGATCATCTTTTATAATAAAGAATAAAAAAGGGTGATAAAAGTTCAGCAAAATGTACCAGCACCTCACCCAAGTGAGCTATATGAGTTCTCAGAATCTATAGTCCCTGTTTGTTCTTATGTTTCTTCTTTGAGGCCAATCTATTTATTTTAATCTCAAAACATTCACTTCCACTTTTGTTGTTTCTGTTGTCCTTTTCATTTACATCTTTCCTGCCATTGTGCACATTGTTTTCCTAGTTCTACTTCCTTGACTCGACATCAGTTCATACAAATCTTCCAGTATTTCTCTGAATATTTTTTATTCCCTGTTTCCCATTCAATGAGCTTCCATACTCTGCCCCAGTTCTTTGCTACTTCCAACAGGACTTTTCATCTCTCTGTCACAGAATGAAGATAGTTACTAGAAAACAAAATTCACAAGAGCACCTCACTAATCATCTCCTTTCACTTTTCGACCCAGAACACTTCTAATTGATCAGAGCTCAGTTGTCTAAACAGATGTCACCCAGTGTTAACTCTCCCCTGATGAACACCCCTAAGTAAACTGTTAATAAGCTGTTAAATCCAAGGTAAACCCACACCAGTTTCAGCCTTATCACATGATTTCTCAGGATCCAAGTTAAGATTTCCCACCAGGCTAGATCGAAATGTAGTTCTAAGGTCAGAGTTCCTGTGTGGTATTCTATCCTCAAGACCTTCCCTGAAAGAAAATGGGGGTGAGAGACCTTCAAATGCACAGACACACAAGCCTGTTTCCCTGCGATTCTAAGCTTCTGTCCCCATCCCCCCGCCCCAAATACTGTGCTCTCAGCAGATGGCACAGAGCCAGGGAGACATGCTAATAGCTCTCCAGAAAAATGTGCTCAACCCATCTGTCAGCCCTGGTTGAAGAAGAAGAGGAAGAAAAGAAAGAAAGAAAGAAAAAAATAAAACTAGCTCTCATAAAATAAGCATCTCTTGCACTGTGGATCATTCTTGGAGTTCAAATGCTTGCTTGGAATTCTCAAGCTATTGCTCAGTTCCTGCCGGTGGAAGCCTTTTGTCCATGTACTGACTGCTCATTCCTGGGTATGGCACAAGGAATGCCAGCCTCAGAAAAGAAGATCAGAGTCTGAGGCTTAACTCTGCCACCTGTTAGCTGGGGAGTGGAGATCAAGACAGTCTACCTTTTGGGGTCTCTGTTTCCTTATGTGTAAAATAGTGATAACTGAACTTTCTCTCCCTACCTCACAGAGCTGCTGTGAGAATAAGATAGCCTTAGAGATTTGACTTTTGATTTCATTGATATAAGGAATTCCTGGATGATGAACTTCCTCTACCAATGCCAGTGGGCACCTCATTTAAATGACAGTGTTAGAGCTGATTAGAGCACTGGAAGGAAGATCAGGAGCCTTGCCCAGGGTTATACAATTCTTATCATTATCATTATTGTTATAGTTGTTATTGTTATTGTTAGTGACGAGAATGATTTATTGTTGTGTATGTGTTCTGACTAACTGAACTCCTCTCCCAACATTATTCTCCTAGGTTACGTTGCCATGGGTGCTGTCCTCCCCTCATTTTGGGGACAGCAGCCCCTTGTTCAACAGCAAATTGCCATGGGTGCTCCGCCGCCAGTGGCTCAAGTGATGCCAGGGGGTCAGCCAATAGCATGGGGCCAACCAGGCATCTTTCCTGCCCCCCAGCAGCCATGGCCATCCGTAGCTGGTCAGTTCCCGCCCACCGCCTTCATGCCAACACAAACTGTGATGCCTTTACCGGCTGCCATGTTTCAAGGTGCCCTCGCCCCCCTCGCCACTATCCCCACCACCAGCGATTCCACCCGATCGAGCCCCCAGACAGACAGGCCCCGACAGAAAATGGGTAAAGAAATGTTTAAAGATTTCCAGATGGTCCCGCCTCCCCCGGTACCCTCCCGGAAACCTGACCAGCCTTCCCTCAGTTGTACCTCAGAGGCCTTCTCCAGTTACTTCAACAAAGTCGGGGTGGCACAGGATACAGATGACTGTGACGACTTTGACATCTCACAGTTGAACTTGACCCCTGTGACTTCAACAACGCCATCGACCAACTCACGTGAGTAGTCGCCTTACATCTTGTACCTCTGGGGAAGGTACATGTCTCTAGAGGCAAACTGGAATCCAACTGTCCATAGAACATCACCAGATCTCAATGTCCATTGATTGATTAATTGATTGATAATAACCCTCTTTTAATTTTCAGCCTATCAAGCCTATAAAATATAGCGTACATTTTAAAGCAACTACTGTGTGCAAAGCACTGGGGAAGATACACAATGTAGACAGAATTCCATGAGGTTGCAAAAAAAGGGGGGGTGCAAAAACAGAGCCCCTGTGCTCAAGTAGCTAACATTATAATGGGAGAGACAAGATAGAAACAACTATGTGAGTGTGTGTGTGTGTGTGTGTGTGTGTGTGTGTGTGTGTACACAGTCCAGAGAGAAGGTAATTATAGAAGGAAAACACTAACAATTGGGGGACGAGGGAGGGCTTCCTGGGGAAGGTCTCTTTCAGAAGATGAAATTTGAACTGAGTCTTGAAGGAAGCCAGGAAAGCCAGGAGATGAGGGAAGGAGGGAGGGTGTTCCAGGCATGGGGACAGCCAGAGAAAATGCCTGGAGTCAGGAGATGGAGTGTCTCCTGTGTGCTACAATAGAGAGACCAGTGTCACTGAATCAAAGAAGATGGAGGAGGTTGGAGGTGGGAGGTGGAAAGTGAGAGACTGAGATGTAAGAAGACCAGAGAGGTAGAGGGAGGCATGGTTAGGAGGGGCTTTCAGTGCCAAGCTGAGGATTTTATTTTTGATCATGGAGGTAACAGAGAGCCACCGCAGTTTATTAAGACTACGAAATAGAAGGATGATGTGGTCAGGCCTGTGCTTTAGGAAAATCACTGGAGAATGGATTGGAGTTGGGAGAAACTCACAATGGGGGGACCAGTTAGGAGGCTATTATGCTAGTTCATAAGGGCCCACACCAAGTGGTGGCTCTGTAAGGGGAAAGAAAGGGATCAATCAGTCAACCAGGCAATAAACATTTATTAAGTACCTACTGTGTGCCAGGCACTACGCTGACTAAGCCCTGGATATATAGGAAGTGTCATAGAGTTAAAAATGATAAGACTGAGTATGTGGATCGTGTCACACAAGGAGCTGAGGATAGCACAAAGACAGACCAGGTGACTGGAAGAATGGCAGGGCCCATGACCATGACAAGAAAGGTGGGGGAAGGGACTTGAGGAGCCAACTAGTCTGACCACTTCTTTTACAAGAAGGAAAGTGAGGGCCAAAGAAGATACGTGATTTGTCCGAGAGTTGATGGACAGGGTCAAAGGTTGGATCTGAACCCAGATTCTTGGACTCCAGAGCCAAGGGTCATTGTGATGTGTCATCCTGCCTCCTGCTGGTTCTGGTGCTGGATTTGAAGTCAGGAAGCCTTGGCCAGAGTGGGAGGTGCAATTACAAAGACAAGCGCTCCCTACCCTTAGCAACTTACATTGAGACAGGGAAAATAACATGCTCCTATGGAAATTTGTGCAAAAGACAAACAAAATTAATCAAATTTAAGGGGCAGTTAGGTGGAGCTGCAGTGCATAGAGTGCTCAGCCTGGAGTCAGGAAAACTCATCTTCCAGAGTTCAAACCTGGCCTCAGACACCTTCCGGCTGTGTGACCCTGGGCAAGTCACTTAACCCTGTTTGTCTCAGTTTCCTCATTTATAAAAGAGAGAAGGAAATGGCAAACCACTCCAGTCTCTTTGCAAAGAAAACTCCAGATGGGATCATGATGAGTCAGACACAACGGAAAAACAACTGAACAACATCAAATTGAGTTTGGGGATGGTGGCCCTGAGACCTGAGGGCATTAAGAAAGGCCTCATATAGAAGGCATTGCTTGGGCTGATAAGAATCTAGGGATCCTGAAAGGGGAAGTTAAGTAGGATAAGCATGCCAGGCATGGGAAACAAGGTGCAAAGGACTAGAGATGGGAGCTGGATTATTGTGTGTGCGAAACAGTGAGGAAGCCAGTATGTCTGGAATGTAGAGTACATGGAGGAGAATAATGGGCAACAATACTAGAGAGGTAGGAAGTAGAGGGCGGTGTGTGAAGTATAGATCACAAGGCCTATTCTACAAATAAGGAAACTGAGGCACAAGAAAAGTTAAATGTCACTAAACTCATAACTGTCAGATCTAAGATTCAAACCCATCTTTCTCTGTCTCTATCTCTTTCGGCCTCTGTTGCTCTCTGTTCTCCCTCTCTCTCTCTGTCTCTCTCTCCCCCTCCTTTGCTCTCACTCTCCCTACCCAGTTCTCTCTTTGTATCTCTATTTCTTTGTCTGTCTCTGCCTCTGTTTCTCCCTCTGTGTCTCTGTGTCTCTGCCTCTCTCTCGTAGACATCTGCTCTTACAACGTGGCATTTAAGTAAAATTTCAAACTACATAAAAAGAGTGACTTAGTACAACGGTGAGCCTTCATCTCCAAGTTATATTGAGAGGAGAAGAAGACATATCTGAATATGATACAATGTGAGATACAAGACTTTAAGACAATCATTAAGTACCTACTGTTTGCTATGCACAATGTTAAAAGAATGGAATTTTATTTGAATTTTATTTATGACCCTCCTCATTAAAAAAAAATCACCATATTTTCCAAAGAAACCAAAAAAGTAGGAACAGGTCATTTTATAGAGCTACGTATGAATAATAATGACAGTGCTTCAGTGTTTGCTATTTGCTTTCCAAGTCCTATCTCATTTGATCGTCCCAGAAGCCCTGAGAGGCAAGTGCTGTTATTTTCCCCCTTTTATAGTTGAGGAAACTGAAACTGAAGAAATTTGAATGATTTATTCTAGCTCATGCAGCTAGTAATTATCTGAGGTCAAATTTGAACTCAGGTCTTCTTGACTGCAGGCCTAGTGCTCAATCTACTGTGCCACTTAGCTTTCTAACTTCAAATTATGAGTTTTCAAAGTACTTTGCATACATGATTTCATGTGATGCTCACAATAACCCCGTAAAGTACACATTTTACCCATTTTACAGATCAGGAAACTGAGGCCCAGAGAGATCGACTGGTTTTTATAATCATAGATTTTGAGCTAGAAGGGATCTTACAGGTCATCAAGCCCAAGCCCTTCATTTGACAATTGAGGAAACTGAGGCAGGTGATGGTTAAGTGATTTGCTCAGTCACACTGCTAGTAAGTGTCACAGGTAGCATTTGAACCCAGGTCTTCCAGGCTCTAAGTCCAACATTATGCATGCTACCACAGTACCTCACCTTGTGACACGTTACATATAATCAATCTATCCAAAAGCATTTATTAAGTGCCACTGTTATACCAGGATCTGTACCTAGAAGGCACTGGAAAAACAAGTTCAAAATATTCAATAATCCCTTCTCTCAGGGATCTTGTATTCTAATGGAAGAGATAGCATGACGTTAATTAAAAGAGATATATGCAGAAATAGGAAGATGGGAAAGCCTCCTACGTTTGGAGCAGGAAGGGCCTCCCTGAGTCCCAGCTTTGAGGCTTACTCCCTATGTGGCTCTGGAAAGGTTCATAGGATCCCAATAGAAAGGTCCTCAGACTAAAGAGTTCAATCACCTCATTCTAGAGATGAGGAAACCGAGGCCCAGAGTGGTCATATACTCACTGACCTTGATCTGAATGGGACCTCAGAAGTCATCTAGTTCACCCTCCTCCGAGGCTCAGAGAAAGTTAGAGTGACCACCCCAGGGTCATACCACTAGTAACTACCAGAGGTAACATGTGTGCCCAGGTCATTGGGCTTCTCACTATGCCATGGCACCTCTGAGCACAGAGAAGGCAGTTGATTTCTTCGCCGCTCTGAGCCCCAATGTCTCCGTCTATAAAGTGAGGATGGGGAGACCCACGTTTCCTCCCTTATAGGGCCCTTGTGAAGAATGTGCTTTGTAAAGTGCTAAGTTAAAGTGAGCCACTGTTATTCTGAAGTCATGGAATGCATTCCTCCGGCATCTGTCTAGTGTATGCCTCCCATGCTGGCTGCCAATTGGAAAGTGATGAATGAAGAGGAGACTTTCAGAGTGTGTCCTTGTTTCAGTCCAAAAATGGGAGGAGGGGCAGGAGGCAGCAAACACTGCTCAGCATCACAGCTCTGCCATCTGTGGAGCCGGGAGCCATCTGGGGGTAGATAGTGAGGCCCAAAAGAATCTTTTTTTTTCTTTTTTTGAAAATCCATTGTGTCCCTTAAAATCCAGTCCAAGTTCGTACCTGGAGTAAGAACCTCCAGTCTGTCCTTTGAACAACTGGCCAAGAAATCAACAGGGTACAACAGATAGAGTCACTGAGGCGATCAACAAGTATTGATCAAGTGCTTACCATTGGACAGCCACTATACTGAACTCTAGACCCATAAGGAAAAACTATATGTGATAGTAGGAAGCACTGGGCGGAGAATGGAACTTGGATCCTAGTAGACCCAGTTTCTTTCCTTTAAAAATATTTATCTTTAGCATTCTTTTCTTTTTTTAAAATTGAGTTCCAAATCCTTTCCCTCTTTTACACCATTCCCCTACCCACTGAGAAGGAAAGCAAAATTATATCAATTATGCATGTGAAATGATACAAAAATTTTCATATTAGCCATATCGCAAAAAAGAAGCGAAAAAAAAATAAAGCGAGAAAATTATACTTGAGTTCATATGTTCTCTCTCAGGAGGAGGATAGCGTTTTTTCATCATGAGTCCTTTGGAATTGTCTTGGATCACTATTTTAATCAAAGTAGTCAAGTCTTTCACTGTTGATCATCATGACAACATTGCTATTACTGTGCACAATGATTACCCGGTTCTTCTCATTTCACTTTGTATCAATTCATATAAATCTTGCCATTTTTTTCTGAAACCACCTCCTCCTCGTTATTCACCACCGCACAATAGTATTCCATCATAATCATATATCACAATGTGTTCAACCATTCTCAAATTAATTGCCATCACCTCAATTTCCAATTCTTTGCCATCACAAAAATAGATACAATAAATACTTTTTGTACATATAGGTCCTTTTCC